AAGTAATCATTGATTTAAATCAACCGTGATTTTTTTTCAAATATAAGTTCCGTGATTTAAAAATAAACCAACATAAGGCGAAAATATTTTTATACAATATTATTTATAAAAATACTTTTTAGGTTATATTTTTTAATGCCTAATTTCAGGGATAATTCAAGTTTTATCCAAAGAAATGGGGGGAAAAAATGTATGTTAATTATAACATTAATAGAGAATATATTATAACTAAACCATAAAGAAAAAAATCTACAAATGGTATAAAACTTTTAAAATATCATTTTTCCATTAACTGTATGGAAAATAATTTGCTAGTAATAAAGTTTTATACTGATTGTTATATGTTAATTTAAATAGAAGTGTTTTTAAAGCTTATGAAACATGCAATTGGTGTTTGTCAATAATGAAGATAGACTTGTTCTGCCCAGAGCAACTTAGAAAAAAAAAATTTCATTAATGTTTTCTGATCTAAACTAATATTCTCTTCGTTGGATATTAAATTGACATATTGCCTTCCTGTCATTAAAAATTTAAAATGTTGAGCTTGAACAAAAATAACTATTATTTTATTTATTCACTGATTACTTTCCAAAATTAAATAACAATTTTGAGTATTTTAGTTAGAAATATGAACTACTTTAGCTATATTTTTGTTTCTAAACAATGTTAATTTTGTCGAATTTGGCTGCTAAGTACAAAAAAAAAATCTTTTTGACAATTCTGTTTTAATTTCTTTGTAACTGATCTTTTAATATTTTTTCTCCCGGTTATCACTATTCTGATTTCTTTTAGATTTTTTCCTGCTTTTCTGATTTTTAATTTTTTTTATTCATGAAAAAGAAGGAAATGAAATAGAATTCTGGAAAACAATGCGATAGAAAATCAAAAAAATAATCGTATAAGGATCGAAATAATGATATTATGGTGCAACATTGAACTAATTTATTCTGAGGGCGTAGGCTTTTATTTAATAAGAATAAGTGAGTATTTAGAGATATAAATTTTTGGATTATATTTAAACCTGTATAAATTACAACTTATCGAAGTCAAAAAGCAAATGTGAAACAAAGAATAGATTGAATGAAGAGTTTACTGACACCAAATCGGAGTTGGTTATACTGCTCCAAACGTAAACGATATTACATACTCGTGATAAGATAATCAAGCAGTATGATACCCTAAGTCTGGCGCTAAAAAATGAGGGAAAAGATAGGATTGGGGTACCACGAAATAGTGGGATCCGTATTTGCCTAAAAATGCAAAACCTGTGACAATTACATAGTGCATAGGATTATAACACTTCTTTTTATTTTATAGTTTTATTTTTAACACAATTTTTATTCATAAACAAATTAGCAAAAAAAAAGAGTAAAATAACAGTATTTTTTTAATTTTAGCTCAAACTAAACAGATCAGAAATATCTAATGCTTTACTTATTGTCCCATATTAGCCTTGAACGACCCCTTACTTAAATTTATAGGGGGGTGGAGTTATCTAAAAGTGTTTTTATCGCTGTTTTATTTAACGAGAATTTAGGTTAAAACTTGCTGCTCTGAAAAATGAAGAAACATTCCTTTTGTTCATGATTTTTTTATTTATTATCTTTCAAGAAGTATATATTTATCATATAAACTTTTTGAAGTACAATTATAAGTATAGTTTATACATACTATTATAAGTATAGCCTTTAAATCCTCTAAAAATATATTTTAATATAGTTCAAGTGTCGTAAATTGTTTTTTTTTCTTTATTTCTCTTAAACTGCATTATAATATATCGCATTTTTCAATCTTACTGCATTTGTCATAATGAAATTCGCATAAGTATTTTCCAGCTGACTCATGATATAGCTTAGTTCCTTAAATTAAGGATAACACCATTATAAAGATTTAGTTTACATAATGCGTTATCAATGTAGATTTGAGATCCTGTTGCTAAAAGTGTTAACTCAGACTTGTGGAAATAAGAAAGATACAGCGATTTTACTTATACCGTATAAGTTTCACAGGAGAGAAAATCGCTGAATTTATCTCTCGCTTTACTCATTAAATTTTTTTTTTAATTTTTTGTGAAATGTTTCTAAGTTCTTTAGCTAAAATTATAATTTTACCTAAATTTCAAAATTAAATGGGTGGATAAAAAAACTTGGAAACAATCATTGCGAGAAGCATTCTACAAAAGCATTTCCAATCCTTNTATATATATATATCTTAGAAGTTAAAAAGATTTTAAAAATATGTGGTAATCGATAGTTACAGACAAATTTTTTGATCAAAACAAATCAGATATTGAATGAAAATTAAGAACGTTTTTAAATTAGATCTTCGCCATTGAATAATCCCATCACAAACTTTTTTCTGACTGAAATCGGATCCCTCAAACGAAGCCGTTACATAAATCCGTGATGCCTGACTACTCGGTCGTTCGATATATCGGTTAGTTCTCTCTATACCCTCTCTTCAACACACAAAAACGCTACAACTTGTGAAAAATTAATAACTATATCCACAAAATTTGTTGTTATCTCTTCCACTTAATCTACGCAAAAGCACTTGTAGTTATGGAAACACATTTTTTGAGCTCACTGGACCGTTTGACGACGGCTAAGTAATAAAGTGCAGCAGATTCATGAATTACTTAATACCCGGGCAGGGGTATTTTGCTACTGACCGCTATTCCGTCTGCCTCTTCCGACCTATGTTTTTCTTTTGTTTTTGTAAGGAATAACAAAATTTCGATAGAATTCCAATAGTTTTTTTAACAGAGAGTTTTTTTCATCGCAAAGATTCTTATGTAGGCCAACAGGGAAGTAATGTGATCGAGCAACTGGAAAAAAGTGAAAAGGTTTTTAATGTTTGACAATAAAAATCCATTTAAAAAAAATTAATCGAAAACTCTTTCCTGCTTTCCTTTTTGTTTCACGTTTAAACTGCATTTATATATAATATTATATGCATTTTTCTACTTAAAACGCAAATTTAAGAAAAAAATTCTTTAATCCTTTTGAGGGTAATTTTTCTCCAATTGTTAATTAATTTGTACCTAATTAGAATACGTGAATTAAATTATTATTTAAAAGAATCACATTTCATAAACAGAAATGAAGAACTGCGACGTACAGTAATGGTCAAATTATTATCAAAACTTGTGTTTATTGTTCAAATAATTTTTTACAAACTTTTTTTAAAAAATTGACAAATTTAAAACTATCTAGTGTGTCTAGATTTCAACAGAAACTCTGTGCTATATGACAGCACAAATTTTGATGGATAGTTTTTTTAATCTGAAAGAAAATTTTATCGTCATTTTATCGATAACGGAAATTTTTATCACTTTCCTACGAGTAAGAAAAAAAATAAAATAAAAATAAATAAAAGTAAATGCATTTTTTAAGTAGACTAGGATAGAATATTTTTTATTATCAGAAATATTACATAAAATGCGATTTCTACTGTAATTTGCGTGACTTAATAAACTAATAAAGTAATTATACAAGATTAATAAACTAAAATAAACTAATAAACACGACGAAAAAAATTTTTTTTAAAAAACTACATTAGCGAAACTTAAATCCTTTTAGTTATTTTTAATTATTACATAAAATGATACATTTTAATTTCTATCATTTTATGCATATTGTATGATATTTTTATAGTGTATTTTCTACCGATTTTGTTCATGAAACTAAGTTCGCTTGACTCAATTAATAAGATATTTATGAAACTGTGAAATTTCATAAAAAGTAACTTACGTCTAATTTCTTATCTTTTTTATATTTTTCATTGCAATTAAAAACTCAGAACAATGAGGGAGAATCCAATTATATTTTTACTTAAACAAACGCTTTGTATAAAGGCATGCAAACAAAAAAATTTACTTTAAAATATTATTTTTTAAATGATAAAAATTTACCGAAAGTTCTCCAATATATTAGACGCTGGGTTTCAACAGAATATTAAGTTTACAAAAAAGTTGTCCAATATATTACAGGGTGGGTTTTAAGAGGATATCAAATTTACTACAAGTTGCCCAATATATTGGACGATAAGTTTCAACGGGATATCATATTTACCAAAAGTAGTCCCCTATAACGTTCGCAACGGAATATTAAATTAAGGTTCTCAACAGAATATTAAATTTACAAAAAAGTTGTCCAATATATCAGGGTAGGTTTTAAGAGGATATCAAATTTACTAAAAGTTGCCCAATATATTGGACGATAAGTCTCAACAGGATATCATATTTACCAAAAGTTGTCCCCTATAACGTTCGCAACCGAATATTAAATTAAGATTCTCAACAGAATATTAAATTAAGGTTCTCAACAGAATATTAAATTAAGGTTCTCAACAGAATATTAAATTTGCAAAAAAGTTGTTCAAAATATTGCATGCTGGATCTCTACAGCAGATTAAATTAACCAAAAGTTGCCCAATATATTGGACGACAAGTCTCAACAGGAAATCATATTTATCAAAAGTTGTCCTCTATATTGGATACTAGGTCTCAAGAGGATATCAAATTTACCAAAAATTGTCCAATATATTGGGCTCTAGGTCTCAAGAGAATGAAAAAAAAAAAAACATGAGTTGTGAAGTGTAGGCACAATCATTAAGAGTCTTCTACCCTTGCCATCTTGGATTTTGCGTAAAATTTATAATTTGTGCTTTTTCGATAATTTTCCACTTAACAAACGAGTGATAAAGTATTATTAGATAATTTATTTTTATCCCGATTATTAAATCATTACTTAATTCCCCTATCTAAAGATTCTCTTCTCTCAAAGAATTGCTTGATTATTTATTTGTAACTTTAGCAACAATAAAAGAAAGAGAACAAAGCTTCGGCAGTCTCTCAAAATGATAAAGGAAGTTCCAACAGCAGAGAGTACCGTGACATTTTCTTCTCCCGCTGTTTTGGACAGTGATTTTGTTTTATTTTTGCTCCAACATCATCTATATCCTTCAACTTTTTGATAATTACAATATTTCTTTTTCAGTTGGTGGATGTGCACGTGTACCTTGTCCCATCAGAAAAATGGATCGAACAACGTAAACTAGCTAAAAGGGATGTTATCGATCAAGCTGTTTCATCTGGTTTCGTCAGGTAGGCACGTATTTATGCATCTCATTTTCCTGAACTTGGAATAAATTTGGAATATTTAAAAAGTGGAACTTTTCTCTCGTCTGATTGGTTTTCAAATAAATTAGGAAAACTGGAAGAATTTGAAAAAGGACTTTTCACAATCAGAAGCTAATTTGAGAAAAGAGTTTCTCTTGAAATAAATAACTGAAACAATATTTTGATTTTAATCTAACATACGAAAGAAAATTAGTCTTGTCCACATTCAAACACACGGAAAATCGGGATAACGGGAATTTATAGAAAAGTAAATAAAACTTATTGTTTCACGCAATTCAACTAATTATCCCTAAGGATTTTTTTTCCTCCAAATTACTTAAAATGATTTATATAAAAAGCATGCTAACCTAGCTTGAAAAACTTCTTTTGAATAAGGCAATAATCATTCTTAAAAAGCAGGGAAAAGTTTGATTTGCTTTTACTGTACAAAAATTCCAATGACATCGAAGTATATTACTAAAAAGTTGAGGGGTCGTACAAAATATCCGTGATCGAATTTGGAACGGAAGAATTAGTTAAAAAATATCACGAACAGCTGCGATGAACATGAAAAAAAATTTACATGGAAATCACATGAACTTGAATTATTTTAACGTTGAATTATTTTTACAAGAAAAATATTTTTCTTGAAAGTTTTCATTTGCGTTTAATGGAATAAGATAACATAAAAACTCCCTACAAGGACCCAACTTCATCTAAGTATAGTAGTACAAAATACATTTGAAATGTATTGAACACATTTATGATATTTTATGCCAGTCCTGTATTTTGCAAGGGTATTATCAATCCAATCTAACTATATAAGAGATTCAAACTCAGTTCGATCATAGTGTACAAAAAACATCGAACACATTTATGATATTTTATGTCAATCCTGTATTCAGTAAGGGTATTAGCTATTCAACCTAACTATTTTAGGGATTCAAACTCAATTCGACTGTATAAATACAAAAAACATAGAACACGTATATGATATTTTATGTCAGTCCTGTATTCAACAAGGGTATTAGCTATCCAATCTAAATATATATTAGGCATTCAAACTCAGTTCGATTATATAATACGAAAAAAATCGAACACATTTATGATACTTTATGCCAGTTCAGTATTTGGCAAGAGTATTAGTACTCCAACTTAACCTAACAACTCTACCATGGATTTAAATTCAAGTTGATCAATCAGAGGTGATCTTATCCTCTGACTTTGTCCAATTCCTCAATCAGGGGTTATTTTTAAAAATAAAAAATTTATAATTCCAAAATCGAAATAAAACTTTTCAAAAACGTTATTCGTGATACGCACATAACATAAGTAATCCATGCAATTATGAATAAGAAAACTGAAGGAGTAAAAGAAAGAAAAAAAGGGCGAAAATGTTTTTGTTTACTATTTCATTGACTTATTCAAGTCAATGACAGGCTGTCCGCCTTTGAAACCAATAAGTCCCGCTACTTTCCTACAGTGTCGCCATGACAGCGTTTCTCTATACACGCCATTATGAATAAGTACCCTCCATCAAACAAGCTGCATCTATCTTTTTCTAGACATTTGTCTATTTTATTGATTCGTAAATAAAAAATGAATTGGAAGCAATATCTATCATCTTACCTCGTATTCTGATGGGATAAAGCTTCGTACATTTGAAACGGAAGAATAGAAACTAAAAAGGTAAGATAAATTCAGGAATTATCAATAAATTCGTTTCTTGATAGCTTTAAGTGTTTGTAATTATAGCAAGTTTAGGGATGATTCTTTTTGAAGAATTCGTGTGAAGCTTGGAAATTGCTGGACGATTTCCACGCAGCAGGGGCAATTATAAATTATAATTTTTCACAAGTTTTTCATGAATGTGAATAAAATTATTTTTATGTGCTCACATTTAGTACTAGGTAATTCAGATATCGCTCCATATTTACAAAAACTTTTTTAACAAATATATTAATTAATATCACGCGTCTGAGGGACAAATCATATAGTTATCCTAGTAATTACTAGTCAAAAACAAAATTTTTCAGATTATTTTTTATTTTTAGACCATAGTATATAAATGCAAATGTTTAGAATTTTTAAACCATAAACCGGTGAAATAAACAGTCTAACAGTCGGAAATAGATGCGTTATTTCTTTATATCAGTCAAAGAATTAAGGGGGGATTTTTGATTTTAAAAAATATAAGCTTTAAATAAATAAATTGTACGACTTTGCGAAATTATATGTAGATGATGCACAATAATTTTAATTAGATTTTATAAGATTATACTTAAGATTTTTAACTCTTAATTCAACAATATGCACTAGGGAAGTAAAAGTTGAAAAAGAGTGTGAAAAATAGAAAATATGTGATAAAATAATGCTTCATTAAGAATTTTCTCGATTTGTTTAATTAAAAAAATTATTTATTTAACATAATATAACGAAAAATTTAAGTTTTTGGGGCTTAAATTCTAACAAAGCAGCAAACTTTTTAAATGAATAGAATTACGGCAATTTTTTTTCGTGCCCTACGAATGAGCTATAATATTAGAAAAATTGTTTTTGTTGCTTCAAAGTTTTTATTTTTAATTCCCTCGTTAAAGTATAATAGCAGATGATGATGAATGTACAGCTGTATTCAAAACAAAAATAATTTTACAGAGGGTGATTTTGTGATTGCTAAGTATGGATACTGAAAAAATTGTGAAAATACCACATGAAGACGGGTGAAGTTTTGCAGTTTATTCCATTTTAACGCTCTGTTTTTCGAAGCTCTGTCGCCAAGGAAAATAAAAAAGCCATAGTATAAGTGCCTTACACTTGCAGCAATGCGATGATTTTAAACTATATATATAATATTGCCCTGAAGAATTATCTAGGCTTTTAAACAGACAATCAACTTAACTATTATAAAAGTTATAAGAAAAAAATTTATAAATCACCACTTTGGCGCCTTTTTTCCACCTAGATGAAAATTATCAAAATCACTGCCTTATTCTCAGTCTTTGCAAATTTTTATGAGCACAGGTTTTGCAGCAATGGAGTAAGTGTTTAGATATTTCTTTAAAAAATTTCTCAAACTTGCTGCAAACTGTTAAGTACCATTCTCATAGTAAGTAGTAAAAAGTTACACTACCTTGCACATTGAGTTTTGGTGAAGGAGGATAAGGAAAAGCAATAAGGAAAGAAACTTGCATACTCATATTTAGACATTTGAGATAATGTTGCAGATGCATGTTTTTACGCTGACTGGAATGAGTTCCATCCTGAGAAAATCAAACTAATAATTTTGGAAGTTATGAGGGATTTATGTATTATTTGTTGCATCTGGCATTGTTATCTAAGTTAGTGAGAACTGTTTTTCCAAGCTGAATCAAGTGCGATTACACACGAGTCAGTGGGAGGAAAAATTAATTCAAAAGTAAATAGAGTTTTTATGTACTGCTAATGTATTTATGAACACTTTTTTACAATTGCTTAGTTGATATGTGGACACGCAAGATTCGTCATCTGATTTGATTTTTCATGTAAATCCCGAGTCGACAGAATAAATAGTTTAGAAGTTATAAGGGTTTTTTTTTTTATTCAGAGTACAATTTAAAAATAGAATTTTTTTTTATTCAATAAAGTAAATTGCATATTTTGATATATCAGACTTATTGGCATGTGCGTTCGGTCTTATTCAATTAAGCAAGAAAAAATACACGGAACTCTATCTCAATTGTCAATGAAAAAATTTAAGATGCGTTAACAAGTACAATTACAAATTTGTACGTTACAAATTACTTATTAACTATTAGTCCGTTCATCTCGTGTTTGGTCTCATTCAATTCAACCCTGAAATTTACATCGAGAATAATATTATTTGACAAGAACAGGTATGTAAGTTTCTTCCCCGCATAGAAATTTTACTAGGATAACAATAATAATCCCGTCTATAATTCGATCCGACCTCACATCCCATAGCATTATTACTGTCTCATCTATTACTTTTTTAAACTAGGCAAACTTTAAAAATAAGATGCCTACTTTGTACGTACCTGTTAATATTCATAAACATTCACTCAAACACCCTTTTAACATATTTATTAGGATTACGACTCCATTTATATTTCGATACATGACATATAATAAGATTATACAGTTCAAATTATTCGTCGTAAAAACTATGAGAACATTGAACTAAAATAAGACTATGTGTCAGTCAACATTCATTCAAAGGTCTTCTCAGAATACATTAGAATAAAAACTCCGTTTCTGATTCAATCTATTTTTTTTCTTTCCCAATACCCACCCGATTGACCCCTTGACCCTCGCCATTCAGGTATCAGTAGGGCAGATTTGTTGGCCACTTTCAGGGGCACGTTGGTGGCCAACGTTGCACCCACAGTTTGGACAAATAATACAGAGAATGAAATCTTATCCATACCGTATCGGGAATTCGAACTCAGGATCTTTCTGATGTTGATGTATGTAATGGAATGTGTAGTGGTCAGCTCCCTGACCACTACACATTCCGGTCGGCCTTTAAATCAATCTGACCTGACATATTATAAGGTTTTACAGTCCTATTTCTTCTTTGTAAAAACTGTTAGAACTTTAAAGAAAACTCTCTACCTCTGTTCAAACTATGAGAACTTTAAAGTAAACTAAAAGTAGACTCTGTGTGTGTCAATCATCATTCCCTCAAAGAACTTTTTAAAATATTTATTAGGATGTCAACTCCGTTTCTAATTCAATCTGTGTATAACTTTTAAGATTATACAGTCTCATTTATTGTTCTCAAATCTGTAAGAACATTGAAGTAAACGAAAATAATACTCTGTATGTATCAGTCAGCATTCAAAGATCGTTTTTAGTATATTTATTATAATAACAACTTCGTCTTTTATTCGATCTGACATGACATATTATAAATTTTACAGTCGACTTATTGTTCTTAAAAACTGTGAGAACTTTTAAACTCTTTTGCTTTTGTTGTTTATGAGTTA